ACAGTGATGTTGTAACATGATGGAAGTTCTGTACTGTAGTACTTTACTGATTGTTACAGTGATGTTGTAACATGATGGAAGTTCTGTACTGGAGTACTTTACTGATTGTCACAGTGATGTTGTAACATGATGGAAGTTCTGTCCTGTAGTACTTTACTGATTGTTACAGTGAAGTTGTAACATGATAGAAGTTCTGTACTGTAGTACTTTACTGATTGTTACAGTTTTGTACACGACAAAAAATATGAATTTGACTGAAAAACAGCACCTGAGTTTATTTTAACACAATAGTATACTTCTGTTTATCATGACAAATAGAAGAGCGAAATGATCTTTTGCAGAGATCAACTGATCGGTTCTATTTAAATCCCGTTCAAAGTACACCTGTAAGCAATGCAGCACTACGTACTTGTTTTTAATCCATTATCCCGATAACAAGATATAAGGAAATGCTTATAGTGATATAGGTTGAGGTCAGGGGTTACTGAGTCACCACTTTCATTCTTTTCAGAGACCTGATGCAAGTCAATTTGCCCCTAGTTCAAAGGATGGCAGTTCTAGCTACGAATCGGTCGGAGGAATGTCACTAGGCAGTGTAAGTATGACAAAATATGTGTAACATGACTTTAACATTAACTGGAGAATTGACTAAAAACATCCTTAAAGACATATCCTAGCTCTAAATAAATATCATTTTCAACTCTTAAGGAATACATACAAATGTACTTAATTGAACATAGTATTATTAATTAAATAATGCAAACTGTTTTGGTGTGTAATGGTTGAATTCACTGTAATGTAACACACCGATCTAAAATGACGTTTATATTTATTTTCATCTTTTGTTCAATGGCTGCTCTATTAAACCTGCTATTGTATTTATCGATTTTGAGTTCGAATCACTGTTTTATTAACACTTGGGTATGTTCGTGTTGGTATTATATCTATATCACATTAAATACTGTAAAAATTAAAATTCACACTAAAATTTCCATTTCTACCGTATTTATTCACTGTATCTACTTAAGTTGTCACATTTTGTAAAGTTTTGTGTCGTTTTCACTCCCGTTATATTGTGTATCATCCGCCTTATTGAAAAATGCACGCCGTTTAAATGGCTGAGTGTAAAGAAAGAAAGCGGATGTGAAAACAACTCTTCATCCAGTGGTCATATTACCAAAACGTCGTACGTATCGTATTTTGAATTCAAAGACGACGGGACTATGATAAATATAAAAAGTCGTACTGGTGATGTAGCCACAAGTAAAGATGGGTGTAGCCCTCGGGGAAAGGATTCCAGAATTTTCCCTTACATTTATCTATTTATTTCCAAAATATGGTTTTGAAATGAGAGTGACTATTAACAGGTAGCTCTATATCTTCATCAATATGAATCTACCCTTTAGATTTGAAATCAACATTGCAATCAAGAGTTTTTAAAATAAATACATGTTTTGATTAAATATATATTTTGTACAACTCGTGTTTCCGGCAAAATCCTTCGGATAACAGTTGCCCTCTAAATCCTACTACACTGTAACATGTAATCTTGCCTTTACAAAACTGTAAAATGGTACTTCACTATCGGCGCCATCATAGGACATGTTTCTGTAATCAGTATCAGGATATATCAATGCTTATATTTATTGGTTTAAGAAAAATGTGTGATAATTAGATATTACGAGGAAAATAAATGGGTTTTTATGCTTTACAATATAGATGTTTGTGATTATTTTCATATCTTCTACGTTTGCCTCACGTGACGCTACAAACAAAGTGTTTACATGTACATAATAATGCTATTTCAAATACATCATCAAAGCAATCTATGTGTTATTATTTCCATAAAATGATTTGTCATGGTATTTACAGGCGAATCCAATCTATACAGATGTGAACAAACCAAATGTGAGTACTCTTAGCTTTCCAATACCAGTATGCTATACTATATACTGTAAAATACATACGTAATAAAGGACATACATTCTACGTTATGTAAGCAATACACTACCCGGTGTAAGTAATATAAACCACTCAATGGAACTGTTTTTTTGAGGTACGGTAGTCTAGTGGTAGGACGCCGGGCTCGTGACCGAATGGTTGCGGGTTTGAGTTACGGCACGGCACTGTGTTGTATCTTTGAGCAAGATACTTTACTAGCATGTTCCAGTCTACTCAGCTGTAAATAAGTACGAGTAAGAGTTGAGAAAGATATTCGCTGGTTGCAAAGGTCCTACAACCACGAATAATAATTTGTACTGTAGGTTAGGTTATGCCTATTATTATTATCAAGTATTTGCATTTCTTATCAGTATCTGCAAATAATTAGTTTTGATTAGAAACCTAATAATATATACATTTCATCAACCTCTTAGATAAATGCAAAAACCGATTAACCTAGATAAATATACACGGTTTTACTGTAGACAGTGTGATAGTAGAAATTACTTGTCTATTACAGCAGGGTGTCACCTAGATAAATACACACATTTTTACTGTAGACAGTGTGATAGTAGAAATTACTTGTCTATTACAGCAGGGTGTCACTTAGATGTATACACACGGTTTTACTGTAGACAGTGTGATAGAAGAAATTACTTGTTTATTACAGCAGGGTGTCACTTAGATAGATACACACGGTTTTACTGTAGACAGTGTGATATAAGAAACTACTTGTCTATTACAGCAGGGTGTCACCTAGATAAATACACACGGTTTTACTGTAGACAGTGTGATAGTAGAAATTACTTGTCTATTACAGCAGGGTGTCACTTAGATGTATACACACGGTTTTACTGTAGACAGTGTGATAGTAGACATTACTTGTTTATTAAAGCAGGGTGTCACTTAGATAAATACATATTGTCGACAGTGTGATAGTAGAAAAAAATAAGTCTGTTACATCAACGTGACACTTAATATATACTCACGTTTTTTGTGTAGACAATGCGACTATAAAAAATACTTATCTTTTACAGAATGGGTCAAATAGATAAATACACATGATGTTACTCTTTAATTAATTTTTTTTTTATATACAATCTCTAACCGTAAGAAACAATGATGATATAATTAATTTATCTTTTACAGAAGGGTGTAACTTAGATATATACACATAGTTTAACCGTAAGAAACTGTGATAATAGAATTAACGTATCTTTCACAGCAGAGCGTCACTTAGATATACATGTATACCTATAATTTAACTGTCGAAAGTTGATAATAGAATAAACTTATCTTTTACAGCAGTGTGTCCGGTCAAATCGAATGATGATTGCTGTGGTTTCAGCACTTGCTTTAATCCTTCTCGCAGCTGCAGGCTCTACGCTGGGTGTCATGGTATTTACAGAGGTTAATCCAACTGACGGTAAATAGACCCTGATATACAGGTTTTAGTATTATGTTTTCACACAAAATATTTCTGAAGCATGCTGTATATTAAACACAACGGTCAGTCTCCGCAAGTAGTGTTGGAACCGGCTTCAACTAATATATTTATATGATTGTGTTACGTTAACTGTAAATATAGATTTATATTTGAGCTCTTAATGATAGGTAATCACATCGCGTTTACATACCACATGGCGAGATGTCATTTAAAACTGTAGGTGTAACCTTAGTGACGCCAAAATCTATCATTAGACAGGGATGTGGCTGATTTCTAGAAAACTGTCAATACATGACTGTATTTGCATCTTTAGAGTCACCTGTCTTTCTTTAAGATGATGACGACAATTTTTATTTATATGTGCGTATATTATGCATTAGAGCCAATGCATAGCATACGTTTTATATCCGTAACACCTAAATATTAAGCATGGTTATTCATCAATACAACACATTATAATACAAACATCGAAGCAGTTCAGTTTCAGTAAAATCGAAAAGAAAGACATTTAGACCTTCTTAGAATTGTAACAATACGCCATGCGTGGCAAACAATGTTAAAAAGGAAACACACATATGTTGTCTAAAATTAGAACCTGTCGCTATTATTTTATAGCAATAACATATATAACATATATGCACAAGAAGGTGATCCGCCAGTAGATGGAATCTGGAATGACTGGCAGACATGGGGTGACTGTTCTGCTTCATGCGGTAACGGTGTCATGACCCGCAACAGAACCTGTGAAAAACCTCCTCCTTCATTTGGTGGAAACAACTGCGAAGGCCCGCCTTCAGAAAACCAGAGTTGCAAGCTCACTAACTGCTCTGTGAACGGGAATTGGAGTGTATGGTTGACATGGGGTTCCTGTTCCGCATCTTGTGACAATGGTACTAAGACCCGCAACAGAACATGTGATAATCCTGTTCCAGCGTATGATGGTGAGGATTGTAACGGTATTGATATGGAGAGTGAAGTGTGTATAAAAAAACACTGTCCAACTAATGGTAACTGGAGTTCCTGGCAGCCATGGAATGACTGTTCTATAACTTGCGGTGGTGGTTTAAAGAATCGAACAAGGATTTGTGATAATCCTGCTCCTGAACACAACGGTCTGGACTGTGATGGACATGGCTTTGAATCGTCTTCCTGTGGTGAAGTGACCTGTCCCCCACCTGGTGTCTGGGGTACCTGGACAGAGTGGACTGACTGTTCCGTGTCATGTGGCGAGGGTGTGGCAAGCAGAACAAGAATATGTGACAACTCTGCTGGCGGTGAATGTATTGGGACTAGTTCAGAAACAAAGGTGTGCCAACACAGGTTCAAATGTTACGACAGTTGGGGAGACTGGAGTGCGTGCAGCGTTACGTGTGGTAGAGGGATACGGACTAGGAACAGGACATGTGACGGCAAATTTACCGGACAGGAATGTGGAGTGAATCATCCGACGTTCACAGACACGCAGACTTGTGTAAACTCAAAGACCTGCCCAGAACGTAAGTACAATTGTTGTTGTACATATATATTGATTCAAACAAATAGGTGTATGTGTACAAACAGATCATTTCTTCTATGTTCAAGAGCAATAAGAGAAAGCGTTTTTGATTCGGTTACTTTTCAAATAATATGAGCATACTACATTTGTATATGAACAATCGATTGACTGAATAAAAAAGAAATTGTATCCATGACTGATTTGGAATTTCAAGTTTCCTGGTTTCATTTATCCTTTTAGATAATCAATCAATCTCAATTTGTTTTTAATTCCAGCTTTTTGCGCAAATAGAAATGCGAGTTGTTCCTACAATCATCCAAACAGGTGTGACCTATACATCACGTGCGATGAAAACAAGGTCATGCACGAGCGTATGTGCAACGTGTTGCTGAGGTACAAGGTCAGGGTCGACGATGAATGTGAAGGAGACTGTGACTGGGAGTTCAATGTTCCATGTTCTTTGTGAATTACTTCTCAGCGTGAATATTCGTGAATATGTTACAGTGAACGGAGTGGTAATATTGTTGAAATGACTATTCATTGTGATATTATATTGTTTTCCCTGTAAATTGTGTTTCTGGCTATATTATCTATAACATGACGCATTTGCAATACATATAAGGAGGACAATATTGAAGAGCAATAATACGAAACGTGTTTTTGGTGTATGAAAACAATGATGATTATTTTAATAGTATAAACATATACTGAGGACTATGTTGAAGGACTACTTTCTCAAATATTTTGTGAAAAATATACAAAAGGAGTATTGTTTCAAATTGTTCTATTGGTTTCAATTTTAAGTGTGACAGAGCTCATTTTTCACCAGTGATTAATAAAAGATTATTAAAGTGGCATAAAACATTCAACATTATAGTAGATGCTCAATTTGGTTTAAAACCTGTTTTTTCGACGATAGATGCTATTTGTTTGTGCTCCAGACAATAATTAATAAAACGCTGAAACAGAAGAAAGATTATATTGCTGCTTCATTGATTACAAAAAACCCTTTTGATTTGATTGAAAGAAGTTGTTTATGGTCAAACTGTTTAAACAGGGAATGGATGGGAAAATGTTGAAAATTATACAATCTTTGTATGAAAATGTTAAATCTTGTATCAAATATGATGGAATTTTGTCAGAATACTACCAAAACAAGATTGGATTATATCAAGGAGAAATTTGTCACCGATATTGTATAGTCTATTTGAAAATGACTGTGAAATGTGTTTTATTAGAGATTATTGTCGATCACTAGAAATAGGTTTGATCAACATGTATTTAATAATGTATGCAGATGAAACGGTTTTGATTGCGGAGTTATCGCAGTCTCTTCAAAGTATGTTAGATGTTTTTTGTTATTATACAAAAATGATATGTTTCGCTAACTAAAGTAGAAAAACGTATTTTGCAATGAAAAGTAAAATTAAAAGTCAATGTTTTAATACAAAGACACCATGCTCTGTATTTGATACATATAAAACCAGTGTTTGAGAATATGCAAGTGACATATGGGGTCATCATAAAGCTCCAGAAGTCGAAAAAGTACACACAAATTTTTGTAAGAAACTACTTTGAGTCAAGAAATGTACAGGAAATGATTTTGTGTATTTTGAATAAAGACGGTTCCCTTTATATATGAAAGAAAAATGAATATTTTGAAGTATTGGTTGAAGTTGAAAATTACAAAAGAATGTGTCTTAAATGCCTGCTTAGAACAAAGAATTCAGTCGAATGATGAGTTGATAATTAATATCTAAACTAAATTAGAAAAATAAGGTTTAGCGTATTTATGGTATGGTAGTGAGGTGGGAAATTGTAATAGAGTATAGATATAATGCCTTTTATGCATGAATTGTTATTCAAAATTAGTATCACGTGGTTACTTATATCAATATTTAGTTTATTTTGTTTTGTTTACAGTATTATTTATGTAAACCTATTGATTCAGAGTACAGAAAAAGTTAATCAAGTATTAGACTATCATCGCAAGATCTTAACATAGAAGACTGCATTTAAGACGAAACTGAAGATGAATTTTCATTTTTTACTTAACTGTCCATTTTATACATATTTACGTCAAAAATATGTTAAGAAATATTATCATCAAATACCTTATGTATTCAAGTTAGTTCAGCTATTGAGTGTATACAATGTTTAAGAACTAATAAACGGGAAAATTTGTACATTTGGCATCCAATAAAAGACAAAAAATAATTGAAGGGTTAATTATGATATTGTTTAATTTTAGCATGTAAACACTTCGTTATGATTCACTTTTTGTTTCTATATGTTGTACATATTTATGTTGTATTTGCAACTTATGGGGCACAGGGCCTTAGAAATAAAGAACATTGAACATTGTTCAACTGTTGATATTCGTTTAAATATTGATTTTGTAAAATAAGAATATAACATAATATCCCTTATGTAAATAATAGTTGGTTTTTAAAAAACAACACTGTAAAATTGATATGGTAAACTTATGTATTTTATCACATTGATTAACTATGTTTAATATTTTACTGTATGTGTATGTCGAAAAAGACAGTAATGGACAACCACTTATTCATATTCTTTAAACAATGCACACAAGTATATTCAAGTAAGACCAATGCTTTAAATTGTTAATGTATTTTTTTTAACTTTAAGACCTGTCTGGCCTCATCATTTACTTACTAGTTATTTATGTACTGCTTTTGTTAAATATAAATATAACCAGTTGTTTGATAGGTCAATATTGGCCGGTTATATAAAAAATAAATGCATATTGTACATGTACATTGTGTTTCAAAAATTGACACCTTAACAAACATGGTGGTACTTGTATTTTGTAATGTATGAGGAAAATAGGAAATATATTGATCGTGTGTTAGACAGTCAGGTAATGCTGATTGTGTCTGATGATAATGGAGACTACATTGCTGACGAGTCTGAGGGCAATTGAGACGTATTTAGGATAATGGGACCATGTTGTTTGCGTATGTAGATAATGGGGACTATGTTGTTTGCGTATGTAGATAATGGGGACTGTGTTGTTTGCGTATGTAGATAATGGGGACCATGTTGTTTGCGTATGTAGATAATGGAGACTATGTTGTTTGCAAATGTAGATAATGGAGACTATGTTGTTTGCGTATGTAGATAATGGGGACTATGTTGTTTGCGTATGTAGATAATGGGGACCATGTTGTTTGCGTATGTAGAAAATGGGGACTATGTTGTTTGCGTGTTTAGATAATGGGGACTATGTTGTTTGCGTATTTAGATAATGGGGACTATGTTGGTGGTGTACTTTGATAATTGGGACTATGTTGTTTGTGTACTTTGGTAATTGGGGCTATTTTGGTGTTGTTTTTACATGAAGTCATCAATATTATGGAACCATTTGCAAACAATTAGTCTTTCCATTACATGATAATCTTATACTGTATGTAACCCACTTTGGTTTCACACATTTTTGACACCAATGACAACATATCAAATTTGGATGTACATAGTAAACGTTTCAAGTTTTTTGTTGTCTTTTACACTTTATAATCTTCTTCTTATCAAAAATACATTTCATATTCTCAATGTTTTTTTTAGTTGTTTTTTTTATAAAATTCACAAAATGTTTAACGACAGAAAACAAGCCGCAATTATTTAAATCGTACGTAATAACAAGTGGTATGATATCAGCATCTTTGGTGTTATTTATATATATATATATTGTCTTTGTTGTAACATATGACTACTGCCTAAGAACAATGGAGACTATGTTGGTGGTGCATTAGGACAGCGGGGACGATGTTGGTGGTGCATTAGGACAGCGGGGACGATGTTGTTCCTTTGTTACAGCTGTTTCGTCCTTTATAGGACAAATCTTTGATTCTGCATTTCGATCATACCGACATGAATAATGAAAAATTCGATCTACATATATTTGATATTTATCTATATTTTTCATTTTTTTATATGTATAAAATAGTTAACAATAGTTAATATTGTTTTACTAATCTACAGTTATTTGTATTAAGCAGTTAATAGTAGTACTGTGTTGTTTACTACTGTCCTTGACCAATTTAACATATAACATCAAAAATAACTCCATGTTCAGAGCCTAATGGAATGCAATTCTTCTGGTTATGGCAAAAATGGTGAATCGCAACGAAAATATAAATAAACAATTATGGAAATATATAAATCTGAACAACTATGTCAATTTTGTCTTCTGCTTGATAAGGGTTGACTGCATTAATTTCCACAGATCCTCGTCGTGGTATTAAGTTTTGGAATAAAAACACAGTATAAACAGGAGCCATATACATGATAGGAGATACCCTTTTCACCCTTTGGTTAACTCCATTAATGTGACTCGACAATGCCGTGAGCGAAACCGTGTCTATTTTCCACTGTACTTGTTATATGGCATTGTTCGACAGTGTAACACTAGAGTTTGTAACCGATAACACAAATGTAACGAGGCTTCAGTAGTTTAAATTTACATTCTGTATGCATGTACTCATTGAGCAAAATGACAGGTAACCTCACCACCGCGTATTGGTACCATACAATGACGTAGCACAGGGCGTACTTGGTTCACGTCCACCGTGAAACAGCCCTTGATGTATTTTTGTTACGCTAATTTGAATACACATTTAATATGATTGTCTTGATTTTAAAGTAAAAATAATGTGTGTAAAGTATATGATAATAATAAACGACTTGTATACATTCTATAAATAAAAGTTTGAAAATCGAACTTTAATTTGTTTGTCTTGTTGTCATGCTGTTGCTACATGTAAACCCCCTAGCGAAAGTTTTACATTTTTACATTTTCCCCGCAAAAACACACTATTCTCTCTACTGCGCTGCCCCTATGTGTAAATTGATAAAAAAAAACCTGTATACTTTTTTTTAGTTTTTGCTTGCATCAGAAAATTCAAAGCACTTAAAAATATAAATGTGAGGAAGGAAATATATGTTTTTGAAATTCCTGAGAAAATAACAACATTGGCTTTCTGGATATAAATACCATGATTTGCTAACGCGATTCATGGAATAATCTCCAGAAAGCCAATGTTGTTATGACCTCATGGTTTTTAAAAAGCTCGATTTCATTCCTTGAGTGTAAATGCAACCACTATTTAAACCGTTGATTGACTACAACCTTTAAATGGTTGAGGATGTCGATACGCTATCGATCTCACCATTATAACCGACAACTAGCTAATCATATATATGCAACCATCCTCCACAGCTTTAAGTCCGGCTTCGGGACGGCCCACCCACAAGCACCGAACCTGCATGAAGTACCATATTATCCAGTATGAAATGTAAACCATTATATTTAATAAAATATATGTTTTTGTTTTATAATTTCAAAGAAACATTAACACGTTAAATAACTAGTTAATTACACTTACAGTTACATTGTAAAACAAACCCGTAAATCAAATATCTAATACTTTTTTATCATGTAAGATTTTAATATATTCCTATCGATCACTGCTGTTAATTAAATATATATATATATTTAATAATTAAAAAGACAAAAAACTTTTCTATCATAAACTGGGTTTTACCATTTTTAACAATCAACATATACATATATATACCCAATAACGGTACTAAGGATTAATTCACTTATAGCCTCTTTTAGAATAATATGGACATTTTTGAAAAGCTTCTAAAAGGATACATAATACACACTTTATCCATTTAACAACAATTATGAAACAAGTTTTTACAACTTACACCAATAACTCTTGATGGCCCGGATCTTAACGCGCGGGGAGTCTTACTGTGGGAGGAAACCGGAGCACCAGGAGAAAAACCACGTGGTCGGGCAGGTGACCCAATGCCTTTTCACGTCCTATCGGGGAATCGAACCCCGGTCGCCTTGGTGAAAGGCAAGTGCGCTATCCACTGAGCCACCCGACCACCCTACTAAAAGGATGTTGTTACCTTGACGGCATTAACTGTCTGAATTTGCCCTCTGCCCTGGAATTTCTCTAGCAGGCCCTCATATCTTCATGACGTATCCATTAGTCTTTCATGATTTCAATACAGCTGTTATATTCATATTAAAACTTATTAGGAACATTTACGTTATCATTTGTCGTATTTCTGTCTAAGGATAATTTTATGGCATCAAAAAGTGTAACAACAGAACGAAACTGGATCGTCAACCGCACACAGAAAATTGTATTGCTCACAAAAATATATTACACTAACAGAGACAACGTTATTCCTGCACTTTTTAGATATCTATATTACACAAATGATCAGATCATAATTTCTTATCGTATATAAAATAATCACTTGATTCCTCCGTACATAGGTTGTTGGTTGTACATGCGTTTCTCTTTCTCGTGATTCCCAATTATCCTGAATGGTTTTGTGACATTATAGAAGTGTTTCTTTCTAAAGCAATAATATATATTCGCACTTCCCACTTATTTTTATTTTATTACTTAAAAAACCTTATCACATCCGTGTGTTTATATTGAGCGTAGGTTGGTCATGATGTTAACCATGAAGATTAGGGAGTTTATTTCATGATATGAGACGTCATGTCAGAATGTGACAAAACATCGGATACCGAGTTACTTGTTTATGATATTTATCGACCAAATACAGTTATGTTTAATTGGAGTCACGAGACCGCTAGTGCCCGTTTTATAATGTTTCATCTAGTAAGTAATTAATTGTCAAAACATTGCGTGAGTAACTACTGTTATTTACCCAAAAAGTATTGTCGCTGTCATAGACGTCTCGTACAGTCTATCTACAAAAGTAATTTTATAATGATCTGGTATGTAAATCCTAATCATTAATCAACTTGGCCTGTAATAATGTGTAATTCCCTTCAAGGTTGTTTTGTACGAAATAGAGAATACCAATTTCAAATATTGGAATAGGGTAATATAGATTAGGTTTAAATATTTAAATTCTAATAGAAGCTGGTCCGATTAAGGCATACTGTGTCTAGCTTTATCACAACCTCCCAACACAGCTTTGACACTAATCAATCTTCCATTAGGCATATCAAACTTGCATACAGATACTTAACAAGACCTTAGATAGTAAAAAGGGTAAGATACGTACAGAGTCGAAAGAATTTCAACACACTCGACCATCGGATTGGTAATTTAAAGAGGGTTGACAACCAGACAGAAAGAAGGGGTCCACCTGCAAAACAACGTATTCTACTCATTCTTGTACATGTCTGTCATGCATTCATTAAAGTTGCAGACATTGTTAGGACATGTTTAGTAAACATTTATTAGTTTCTGGTTTGAGATTAATTCGTCAAGGGTAATCCCGCTAGGCTTTGACGGGTAATACGTAACAGCACTCAAAAGTGTATATAACGAACC